TCTGAGGTTTCAGTCACGTTCAAGTCTCGTTTTGATCTGGTGTAACGGGTTTTTGTAATATTTAACAAATTATGATAGGTATAATAGCAAACACACATCTGAAAAACATGTAAAAAACTAGATGTCTGTTGTGTGTAGAACTTTTTTTACAAGAATTTTAAAAAATGACCATTTTGGCGGCCATTTTGAAAAAGTGTATTTATGAGAATTTCTTGCGCTTCACAAAGAATTCTCCTTTTTTTACACTAGATGGATCACTTAAATTGTCATTGTGTCACCATTTTTAATTGTAGCTGGTTCAATTTTGCTGTATAACTTTATAATGTTCAATATGATTAAAATAATATGCAAAAAAGTGGAAAGTTATATATTATTGATATTTTTTTTTACATATTAGGGTAACTGAAGCACTTTTGATTTTTGACCCCGAAAAAGGTGAAAAATAACACAAATAATAATGGGACAAAAAAAGAAGCACACCGACCCCCCATTTTTGTGGCTGTTTTAGAAAGAGAAACACATTTTCTTTTGATTCATTGAATACTAAAAAAAGTTTATTACAGGATTTTTTTANATTTTTGAGTAAAATGAATAAGTGTAAGACCTTTTACTTCCACAGTTTCAAAGAAAATAATATTTTTATCAATTCTACAAACATTCATACATATCTGATAACACACTTGAAAGAAATGGTATGAATTGTTCTGCAAATGGTCAAAACCCGAAAATTCACCTAAAATCACATATTGTGTTAAATTGGTATCTTTGACTGATCATAGCACAAAAACGAACACACCGACATATAGTTTTTTTTGCATTTTCTACTATGCCATTATCTCCTTTTTCCAAAAATCAATATAAGAAAAAAAGTTTAATACAGGAATTTTTCGACTTCTCAGAGGTGTACATCCTTAAGGCTCATGAGGTTCGATCTCTGGCTACATCTTAGGCTCTCCTTAATGGTTCATCATTTCAGGATGTGATGTCTGCTGCCTTCTGGCGTGGTCAGACTTCATTTTCTGACTACTATTTGAGATCTTTGGCATCCTTCTCCGATGACCTCAACTCTCTTGGTCCCGTTGTAGTGGCTCCGTATGTGGTCGCTCCCCCTTCGCTTGGTCAGTAATGTGCGTTGCATTCCGCTTTGTCTGTCCACGGGCGGTTTTCATTTCGTTTTCGAACACCTCCCTTTGTGGGGTTTGTTTCGGCTTCTGACTACTGCCCTGTGTTGGATTGATGTTCCGCTGGGATGTTTGAGTCTCCACTACGGTAAGACGAATTCGCGTACTAAGGTTATGGTAATTATTACTGAACTGAAATTGAAAATTTGGGCAGCAATGTGATCACCAGATCGGTTCCCCCTTAACATCACTTAGACATGGATCCATCACTGAATGACCGAGCTAGCTTCCACTGTAATGCCCACTTTTGGTTCTTGGGTGTAGCTTCTGTCACATGTTGCAGCAGACCCCGTGAGGAGTCGAGTAGGTCAGAGAACTGACGAGCATCACTAACCCTAACCCTAACCCTACCTTAGAGGTACCGTCTAAGTGGACATCTAGGTCACTCGTGATACTAATCTCTTGTGACACAACAACCTATACTGGTCTTAAAAGGTATACTACATATCAAGCAGCACAGAATTTCGGAAACCATTCTGTTCTGATGGAGTAGGCTCTTAAATGATACACAATCTGAATTGTTAATCACCAGTAATGACAGAACAAGACATGTGCTCAAAATGTGCGTATACGTCATCATGGTTGGGAGAGTGATGGTACATATATATATGCCTTTCTTCAACAAAACAGCCACGTCTGTTGTGTCTAGCATTGTGGAGGAATTAATAACATGTTGGTATAAGCTCAGCTAGTACCTGGTCATCGACACGTGCACCTAACCAGGTTTCTTCATCGGACAGTTCGATGACACTGAATGCTGATTAATCACGAAATTACAATGACGTTTGTTGTTTGCTTGCTAACGTGTATAGACTTAAATGCTATCGCAACGAAAATGCAAGTTAGTGTTGATACCTGTTACTTCTGTTGGTGCATTATATCCATGTAGGTGTGTGTGCAAGGCGGCAAGACCATTTTGGTGACCAGTTGGACGATATAATCAGCGTTCAGTCCAGAGTGGTTATCGACACTGGTCCCGTTGGACGTAACAGCATTTACACGTGGCATTCGCATGACAGTATCTTTCCCACCCATGTCAGACGCCTTGTGCGAAACATTTTGGCCGAATTAGACTTCTGCAGATCCTCCAAAAACCGTTTACTGATATCAGGATCCACTGGTCTAAGTGCCAGGAGAACAGATCAACTATACTTTAACATATACGACCGTGATATCAACCTGCACTGGTCGTTAAGATAGAGGTCCACAATTTAACAAAAGGGAAATCACCACAGTTCTGCAGGGCGTTCCCAAATCATCGTGTGACTGCCTATTCATACATGCACACATGGCACCAAACATTACCCGTTGATAGTAGTTTGAGAGAAAACAACCATTTTTAAAACGAAATCAAATAGTTCTTAAAGTGGTGATTACGCTAATATTGATATATAAAGAATATTCGAAACCAAGTAAATTCAAACAAAGTTGCATATTGCATTTCACGTCTCGCTGTGAATTCTAAAAGTCTCTCCCAGCTTCCATCCCGACATTCCCGATCACAGATTTGCATGCTCCTTAAACGCATAAAATACTGTGTAATGCTAATACAATTTACGTTGAATATGCCTCTAGGATTTGCTAAAGACGAAGATATCATTAATAAATACCGTTAAAGAACTATTTCAAAATTACCAACCATAGATAATTAGCAATAACTTTGGATATATTCAGGTATCTCCCTTTTTCTACATTGACTCGGGATGTACGCCCCAAATAATGAAATATAATACAGAAGAACAGGTTTTCTGCGTTTATTCTCAGTGAACTAACCAGAAGAACAGTAAGTATACACAATGCTAAGCCTTCATTCAATAAACAGGCTAGTGTTGCCGCTACATAAACAGATTTTCTTTTGTAATTGTATTTCTAGTTTTGTGTGAGAATTCTTTGTCGTCCTAACTACTCATCAGTTTAATAAGCTGAAACAAGTATCGCCTATTTGATTTCGGAGCAACCGTTTCGTATTCGCCATTTTGTGTTTTTGTTGGCGTTTATAAAAACATGGCAGGCACCTATTAAGTAACGTTGGGTCTTGTCTTTGACCTGCCTTTACTTACTTTCAGACTGGAAATATACCCAGGACCTGTTCGGGTAGGTCAACGCTACCACAAATTTTGGGCTCCTTAAACATTTCTCTTCTAGATAAGATCGCCAAGCTCCATTACCCAGTTAGCAGGACACTTCAAAACTCCTTCATCTGAAGTTTCTTAGGTAGCAGAGTACAGTAGCGTACGGTGGCCATGGGTGATATTTTTATACAATGAATAACCCCTGTAATATAACATGAATCAAAATTTAAAAAAGAAATCAGCACTAAAATTGGCATATACAAGATGAAGTGGACTATGTGGGCTTCATAATTTTTCAAAACAAAAATCGAATTTGGTTTGAGACTACAATTTTGGGCATTTACAAATCTGTGTCTACACAACAAAAGCTAGCTTTTCATGTAGTCTATTTTTGTACTCAGCACATGTGTAAATATTGTAAAAAATCCACCGGAATGACCTATGCTAAAACGTGAGTATTTCTGTTACCGAGTAGGCGATATTTAATTTCAGACAGGTTTTAATTCTGGATTAAAAATCATGATTTTTTGCATATTTTGGTGTGTTTTGATGTCGTAACCATTGTTTTCAGAAGTCCCAAATACAATTTAAGACTACATAAAATGGTCTATATGAAGTGCGAAAATAATGTGTATGAATACGCGAAGCAAATTCTACCACAGTGCCTCAGTTAGAAATACCTTTTATATCCGATTAAAAAACATAAAGGATGACCTCAATGTTTTAAGTTACCATACCGCAATTTGTTGGAAAAAACTGCGGTTAAAATTGAAGTCGTATAATTTCATACATATTATAAGAACGTATATTCGTATGAAAAGATTTAAAATTCAATTGAATGACACGAGCGGGCGAAGTCTTTACTCGACTGCTACTAATCCTACTAGGTGCAGGATTGAGGCCATTTTGTTTTGTAAAATAAAAAAAGTTTTTGTTCCTGTTATTTATTTATTTATTTTCAATGGTTTTTATGAGTTTCTCCATCCAACTGATATTCACTGTCCAACTTCCTTTTTAGTGTGTCTTTTAAGGGACATATTTTTAAAACTACTGTTAACTCAACATTGATTTGCATGTTCATCAAAATCCTTTTTATTGTTAAGTATATTCATATATTTTTAACGATATTTCTATAAACCACAACTTAAACAATACTTTTACCTTCTCTTAAATTATTAAAATCGGTAATCTGTGGTCAGGACTGCTGATTTGGCGACAAACACTAGCTGGACACATAATACGTACATCGCCAAGGTAATTGTGAGAATGGAAGTGAAATGTGATTCTTTGAGGAAAACAAAATATCATATTTCCATGCAACATATAGTATTTCTTACAACTTGCCGACAGATAAGTCATGATTCATCAGTCCCAATGAGGTTTGTGCACTACATGTATATCATCGGCAAACTGCCAAGGGAAATTGTATTCACTGCATTGAGAGTAGGATATTTTCGCAAGGGATTATATTTTTCCTTATATGGTAGGGTAGAGATTTATCTAATTACTTTAACTAATAGAAGCATTAGCACGTTATAAAATATAAAGAGTGTTAGCTTAACAATTACTGTTAATGCCCATGGTCCCTAAATTGCCTATGAAATATGTGCAGATAGCTTGGTATACTGTAACACTGTAAGTAATACGCATACTATATTCGAGTATGTACATCCGGGGTCAGGAGAATCCCTAGACTTCCTGTTAATCATGAACTTCTTCCGTTTCAATTTATTTGGACAATCTGTGGTATGATACACAATCGGAGTAATATGGGTTCAAGTATTATACATTTTCTGTCGGCGATGAGCGAAGAGTGTGCTGTTTTCAGTCCAGCGGGAACTCTGTAAGGTAATATTTATCTATATTTTGTTGGCTTTTGTAATTTGAACAATATTTAGAGTTAAACAATGAGACATGGGTAACAAAATAATTAGATTACGTGTAACGCACTCTTTTGGATGTTAGTGATAATAAAATTATTGTTTATTTTGTAACTACACTCAATGTGATTATCTTGCCTCATTTTGGGGAATGTTCGCCCTGAAACGGTAAAATCCATTTTCGCCCTGATACGGTAAAATCCATTTTCGCCCTTATACGGTAAAATCCATTTTCGCCCTTATACGGTAAAATCCATTTTCGCACTTATACGGAAAAATCCATTTTCGCACTTTTACGGTAAAATCCATTTTCGCCCATTTCATTACTATGTTCATTATGACGTTACGCGCGATGTTGGTGACATCTTGTTGTAATGTTAAATGACTTCGTTTTAATCATATGTGATGTCGCTTGTAAGATGTTTTATCATATTCTGCATTAGTGTGTGTGACTCTCTTGTACATTACCATGCCGACAAAGAAGATTGATCAACATGAGCGGTTAAACCTTTTCCATAATTGTAGTGATATACATAAAGTTTAAGCATTGCCCGGGTGAGGAGGGGAAGATACATGTGGGGATGGGGACAGGGTTTTCTCTCAAAATCGTTTCCATCGTTTCAGAACGAGTTGGTTGTCTAATGTTTAGAGATTAGCTGTATATACAAACAGAGAATAAGTATACACGTTATTTGTATGTTGTTTTACTATATTTCTACAATTCTATTCATAAGTATTGACTTTATCCACGTAGTGTTTCAAAAAGGTAAAGATGCAATGACGCGAATTTATGGAATTTCTTTGAAACGTCTTACCCCGTAGATGTTACGTGTTACACGAGTTATTGTGACGTTTCCGAGGTTGTTTATGTGAAACAAAACCTTCTATTTTTTGGTATAATATCCATATTCTCTCATTTCCCTGTGTGCAAGTTAGAGCTGTTCAGGGTAAGAAAGGGGTGTAGGAAATTTCTATCTTACACCCAATTTCACGTGACGTGACATCACAATGGCTCAACAATGACGTGACGTCACGAATTTGGAACTCTCCGATGCCGCAATGCGGAAAAGACGACGTGATGAAATTAAATCCCTTTACGATATATTTACCGTACACGTTAGAAAGATGTGATTATTTTTTCTGCGCAAACACCCACGGGATTTTCAAATTTTGGAAAATCCTCGACTAAGTTTATATGAGTCAGGAAAATACAAGTGCAAACTTGACGATCGGAGCGAAGCAATCTCAACATAGGATGAGTGGTAGTGTCGATCAAGTGTGTGTACCATTCGTTATTTTTTGTTGAACGACTTTTTATGAATATTGATACTACTGGCAGTTGTTTACGGGCCGTGAAGTAATACAAGTGTATGCATAGTCTTTTTATCTAGCCTGTCTCCATGTACCTACTGCTCATCCGATTAAATATCCATTTTACTTGCAGAGCCTTTGAATAAACCTAACTGAATATGTTTTACTAAAGTATAACACACATAAATACTCCATTAAGTGTTTTACTAAAGTATAACACACAGAAATACTCCATTAAGTGTTTTCTAGTAGAAATATGTTCGGGACCTTCCGTCATACTGACATTGTAATCAGAATAAGTCATATTGCAACGGCAGATTCAAACTTTGTAGGAAACTTCAGAATGTTTTCAGATTGCAGTTTGTGGCCTGGCGTAAAGGTCTTACAAACTGTACATCTTTATAGACACCACGACATTCACCTTGAAAAATAGATCTCCCATCTCCTCGCAAAACACTTTGTTTAGCATGCATCATGATAGCCAGAAGATTATTTTATTGTAAGTGATATTCAATGATTATATAAAAACAGTCATATATAACACTAGTCGATGAAAAGTGATTTGACAACAAGCTCATAGCTTATGTTCGGTTCGCAGGCATTGAGATAATATTATTGGAAATTGCAAATATGATTCGGTGTTATTTGAACCGATGATTACATAGGTGAACAAGTACTAATTGTACTAATTTAAAGATGTCCCCCAAACTGCCCCCATAGTCGCAAAGATGCATAAGAAAGGGTTCACAATGTCTTAATACACTTACAATATACATACTAAATTTGAGTGAAATAAAAAAATATCCAAATTTCGACTAATCAGAAGCCTCCTTGGATTACTATGGCAATGAAACCTATGCTGTTGAATTCGCAGTCCCCTAATACCCCTATATACCAATTTTCATCAAAATTGAAAAAAATCACAAAACAAACACCGCAGTTGCTTTAGTAGTGCCATACTACACTTATATACCAAATTTCATCAAAATCAGACAATGACTAACTTTCGACCAATCAGAGGTCGCCGTCCGGCTGATTAATCGGATGACCTATCGAAAAACAAAAATACTCTTGCGCACCGCCTGTCATACCAAATTTCATCGAAATTGGACGATATTTTAATTTCGACCAATCAGAAGCCAGCATTTGGCCGCCATTTTGAATTCAAAGTGAACTATTTTTTGTCGAAAACGATCGGTGTAATGTTATCATGCATTTCACCAGAGACGTATAATACATATATTATACGTCTCTGCTTATTTCAAGCTTTAAAATCTGTTTGCCAAAAACAATGCAGCAAAGTAGGTGACGTTTGATTTGTTTTTACTGAAGGCTAGGCTACTGTCTGTTTTTGTATTTCTTATTATGGTGAAATTGTCGGTCACCTATGAAAATCAAAACGTAGTTTGAAGTCTTGATAATAAACAGACATCACTAATTATAATTAGACGAAGTACACACTGGTAATTGTGGTCTATTGTTCACGTTTCACACATATAGCTTTCAAGCACATCCCCACAGGTAAATCTACCCGCAGGGCAGAGTTGGTTGATCAGGGTGTCGATCATTGAGGGCGAGTCTAATAAGAAAGGGGAAAAGAGGTTATCAATTTGTGAGGACTTGCTGTTCCAGTCGTATTTGTGACGTGATGTACCTCTCAATGCGTAACGGTAAAATGGTGATGCGTAGCGGCTCAGAATGCATGTGTAACGGTACCGTCACGCTAAAACCGGCTGGGGAGAACACTGTACCCCTTGAAACATCATTTTGTTACTTAATATGTGGCTTTGTCATAATGGATTACAGTATGAGTTCGAACCCCGTGTTAATTTTCCATTTGTTGCTGGAGTTATGGCCCTCGCACAAAGGAAATTATCAAAATTAACTTTTTTCCATATTATTTGTAACTTAGTATACATTTATAATGAATTACAGTTTTAGTTAGAATCCAGTGTCAATGTTCTATTTTTTATGAAGTTATAGCCCTTTGCACATAGGAAATTCTTATTAGTAACTGTATTTTTTTCGCGACCACCTGTCACATCAATACGTAACTTGATGCTTGACTTTTTCTTGAATGATGGATTACAGTTCGAGTTCGATTCTCGTGTCAAATTCTATTTATTGCTGGAGGCAACACACAGGCACACACAATACGTATCATGCACTCATGATACCATCCACATATGACCTCAGATGTTGTGTGGACGTTAAGCTCCCTCAACCAACCAACAAGCAACTGAAAGCATAATGCTTTTCATATGGCCATTATGGTGACCATGATATTTCAAAATGACACCCTTAAATTGTGTGGGTGCAGGTGTCGGCAACACAACCACTTCCTTCGAATTGTAGTTTTCCTCTATAGGCGTCTCCTTGACACCCATCCTCATATGACCCTGGCTGTTGCGAGGACATAAATCACTTAATATAAAACATCCTTTGAAGTCCTTTTGTATGGCTTGATGATGTTTTCAAACCAAAGGTCTGGAGCATTACTTGGTTAAGAAGACTGAATGCAGTTTAACAAAGAGTCTCTCTTATAATACTCTGGCTCCCTAGGGGGAGGAGTGGGGTCCCAAATGGGGGATTCTAAAATTCAATTACACAATTTATTGTTAGGACCCCCTGCACATCTTTAGTAATCCGGTTGTCCGTCTGTCTGTCCTTCTATCTGTTTTTACTTCACCTGCCAAGGACAAGTGAGCTTTTTCCCTGGTGCGGCGTCCGTCGTCTGGCCATTGTCTGGCCATCGTCCGGCCCTCTGGCGTCAACTTTTCCCTTTCAACATCTTCTTCTCAATAACCTATAGAGGCCCAGATACCAGGTATTGGGCCTGTAGAGTGTTGGGATGAAGGGCTATTAAGTTTGTTCAAATGAGTGACTTGCCCGACTTTTCCAGGTCACAAGGGTTAACTGAGGTAAAATGTTTAAACGACTTATTTTCAATAACCAAGGGGCTCAGTGACCTGATATTGTGCATGTAGCATGCTTGAATGAAGGACTACTAAGTTTGTTCAAATGAATTATCTTGCCTGCCGTTCAAGGTCACAGATGTCAAATGTGCTAAAATCTTAAAACAACTTCTCAATAACTAAGAGGACCATGGTATTGAGCCTATAGCATGCCTGGATGATAGGCAACGAAATGTGTTCAAATGAATGACACTGACTGACTTTCAAGGTCACAGGGGTCAAATGTGCTAACATCTTTAAACAACTTCTTCTCAATAACCAAGAGGCCCAGATACCTGTCATTGGGCCTGTAGCATGCTGTGATGAAGGGCTACCAAGTTTGTTCAAATGAATGACCTTGATCTACATTCAAGGTCACATGGGTCAAATGTGCTATATTTGAATAAAGTGGTAATGAGCTTGGCATCCACATAAATAACCTAGATCTGCTTCAAAATTGCAGTAGAAGCAAATGAGCGACACAGGCTCATTGGGCTTCTTGTTTAATTTCTGCACAATATCTTCAGTACTGTTGGTTGGATTGCTTTCAGACTTTATCCAGTGCTCTTTTGAAGAAAGTGCTTGCTTTGAAAAGCTTTTCAAGCCCGGCGGTCAAAGGTCAGGGTCACTGTTACCATGAATAGAAAATTAGTTTGGGCACAATATTTCGAATTCTGTTGGGATGATTACACTCAGGCTTTATAAAGTGATACCTTGGAGAAAGTGCCTGCTTTGGTGCTTTGGTGGTCAAAGGTTAAGGTCATTGCTACTTTAGAAAGTATTTGCTTAGGATACATACTGTAGCTTTTGAGGCATCGATGTCAAAGTTCAAGGTTAATGTTACTATAAATAGAAAAACATTTCATGCACAATATTTGGAGATCTTTTGGGCCATATGCACTCAGACGTTATCCAGTGTAATAAAATGTTTGCTTAAGCCTTTGATATCAAAGCTCAATGTCACTTACTATAAATAGAACATCAGTTTGTGCACTGTATTTCGAATTCTGTTGGACTGATTACACTCAGATTTTATCTAGTCCTTCCTGTAAGAAAATGCCTGCTTGGGATAACTTTTCAGGTCCAGTGATCAAAGGTCAATGGGTCACTATGAATAGAAAATCTGTTTAATGCACTAATGCTCAATATCTTGATTTCTCTTGGGCTGATAGCACTGACTTTATCCAGTGCTTCCTCAAAGAAAGTGCCTGCTTGGGATAGCTTTCCAGGCCCGGGGGTTAGGTCTCTATCACTGTTACTATGTAAATAGAAAATCAGTTTATAAAACGCACTACTTATATTTTGAGTTCTGTTGGGCTGATTAATATTACACTCAAGACTTTTTCCAGTGCTTTTATAAATGAAAACACTTGCTTTCACTAGTGTTTGCTACATGTATACCTAACCGCAGTTTCTTTTAAATCTTCAATAAACATAATTATGGAGAATAGTCACGGCGGCATTTAAAATATATATATATATAAATCTTATTACCGGTTAGCTTGTAATAATAATAATAATAAGCAAGAAACGAAACAATAACAATAAGTCACCCGACTTCGTTCGGGGACATAATAATTGTTTTTCAGAACGTTGCTCATTGATAAAATTCCACTAATCCGTTAGTAATGTATGATGCAAACAGTCATACTTAAATAGTCATGATTTACATCTCGAAATCTTTTCATTTTGTTGGTGATTTAAAGACGGATTTCACAGTAAAGTAGCAATGTCAATATCATAGTTTAGTGACCAAATATATTTCATCCGTACTTCTGTTTATTTATTACAGACTATCAAATAAAGCAAGATACTTTACTCAGCTTGTTCTAGGCTACTCAGCTGTAAGAATTGTTGAATGATGGCTAGCTGTGAGCGCCGAAATGGCAGCACCGGCTGTATGCTCCCCAGAGAGTTGAGGAGGATATTGGCTGGTTGCAAAGGCTCAATAACCACTGACGATAATTTGTGAACCGCTTTGAGACGACTTACGAACTAGGGTGTGATAAAGGGGTTTATAAGAACCTCGAATTATAAATAATGAAAATTGCATTTCATGCAGTCTCAATTACAGAAAGGGTAATCGATATTCCAATCAAAAAGATTACATTGTTACCGTAGCCTGTTTTGATGTGTTTGTGCGATGCGGTTTCCGAGGTAACGATAAAGCTGAGCTTTAGATTTAGTTCTATTGAGATGGTAATCCATCAGAGAAAGGGGGTGGCTTTGTTTTACTTCATTTGGAAGGTTGTTCCATAAATCAACAGAATACGGAAGAAAGATTTTTTTTATACGTAGTCCTAGTTTTAATCATAGATATGTATCTCAGAATGTTTAGGGGGTTCAAGATCTGAGAGGTACAAGGGAGTAATATAATGAATCATGTTATTAATGTTTGTAATTTGGTGTGTTTCACTCCGATCGAGTTTCCCAAAAGAGAGTTTGTTGTTGTTTTGAACAAAAATATATGGATTGGGATGAACTGTTTTAACTTCCATTATTGTATGCAACAGAGTTTCCTTTAAACGTCCCCAAGATCCGCTATTGGGCATCTTGGGATATGAACGGCATTTTACTGCATACCCTAATGAATGTTAAATTAATCCTGATATATACTTCACGATGTGCGTGGGCAAAGTATACTTTTGTGTTCTTCCGGGGTGATACAGGAAGCTGAGGAAGTAATCCTACTTAACGCGAATCAGTATAATTTCCCGGAAACAATCTATTTGAAGAATTGAAAATACACAAAGTTATCAATATTTAATCAAACATCAGTTAACCTGTAGTCGATAAGCAGGATCTTAATAAGCATTGTAACCGCTCTTCCTGTGAATCAAAAGCTTTTCTGGTCACACATTATTTGGAAAATAGGAGAATAGTGACGCGATACATAAACCTATCAATATTCTATAATAATAAAATCCTATGTTATCGGTTAGAACCAGTGATTATACTGTTTCATTATTGGAAATCATTTTACAAATCTTCTTCGCGGTTTCTCCGTTTTTGAAATTTTGAACAAAACTAAAACTGTTTTTACAGTCCCTGCCTGTTTATAACACATTTCGAGATTCCTAGAAAAACACTTTGTAGGATATAGATTTAAACCGAACTATATAAATGAGTAGATGCGTCATCAGGCATCATGGAATGCATTTGAACGGAACTATGTGACCGACCATCATGTTAAATACAGCAACGTTAAATTACTCACAGGATTCATGTGGGCGAATTTAATTTGTTTGGTCATCAGAGGTCATACGGTTGGCGGATTGAATGCAGGCATCCTTTCTGAGAATCATATAATTTCTTAGTAGCATATTTTTGAGAATTTAACATTAACTTATTCATATTCTATTAAACATCGACCTCTCTGCCATTGATTAGAGACGAGTGTGTCACTTTCACATCAAAAGGCATACAAAAATGAATGGTTTTATATATTTTGCTTGATAAGTTTAGTTTAACAACATTTAGTGTTCCATATTGTTTATCAAGTAATACAAAAATGTTCGATTACATTAATATTTTTGGATCTTATTTAATATAGTAAGAGTTTGAATCTACACGTGCTCTATTTATCCTGCCTAATTAAATTCCAGACTGCAAAACTGTGAACGAAATATACAACAATTGTTTTATTAGTTTAACTTCATTTTATAACTATTTCGAGTTGTCCCAGGAAAACCTTTGTGTAATTTAAGTCAGATTTGAAATTTTAAAAAATGGTATCTACTAGTAATACAAATAAACTCAATTCGTCAACAAACAACTCGTAGTCTGCCAGAAGTGGAAATGAACTCATGACGTCACAAATGGAAACGTACCGACTTGAATCTACTATGTTTATATATATATATGTATATATTGCATTTTTCATTAATATACTGGTCGTTAACGGTTTTATATTTCCAGTATTGTGGGTTTTTTAATGTGGTTTTTTTTTGTCGAATAGTGAAAATGACGTCAAAAATGGACACATAACAACTTGAATCGACTTAGTTTATGTATATATACTGGTTGTTAACGGTTGTATATTTCCAGTATTGTGGTTTTGTAATGTTTCTTTGGCGAATAACTTTTGATACTATATCCAAGTACTTAAGTCGCCTTATAGCATTACCTCGTCTCTGTATTCTTGACTCTGCTTATTCTATAATGCCACGGTGTCGATACCGTTTCTCCCGACACTTCCCTTTCCATCGGTTTACAGTTATATTTAATCTCCCGACGTCACTTTTTACTTCGGTGCATGATTTGACATTGCCATTGCTTTATTAGTTTGACTTCTATTTCGAGTTGTCTCAGGAAATCCTTTATGTAATTAAAGTCAGATTTGAAATTAAAAAAATGGTATCTACTAGTCGTACAAATTAACTCAATTCGTCAACAAACAACTCGTAATCTGCCAGAAGTGGAATTGAACTCATGACGTCAAAAATGGAAACGTACCAACTTGAATCTACTATGTTCATATATATATAAGCCTATATATTGTATATATTGTATTTTTCATTAATATACTGGTTCTGAGCCATTGTGTATTTACTCTGTTGGCATTATCATGCCCTTGGGTCTCTTTCGTGCCTATTTAAGAAATTGGCTTGGAATGAATCCAAGATTGTTTATTTATTGGCGCCTCATTATATTATGTCCTTGTGCCATTTCTGGTAATCCCAATATACAACACAATATCTAGGAATAACCTATATATCTTGATTTGCACATAACTCTAGATAAAGCACATCCGTCATATTCCTTTACATATCGCATATCACTGTCGATATGACGCTTTGTTTCCTTATACACTTTCTTTGGTTGCAAATACTACTTGATTTATAAATATATAGATATATTATAAAAGCAGAACAAAATGTTCCTTTCGGACGAAGAAATAATATAAAAAAAATCTCTCAGCAACACGTCTTTAGTACTTTTATCTCTACTCTATCTTCTAAAATCGGAAGAATCTCTTTGACGAGATGAAAGTACTAAAGACGTGTTTTTTGTTTATATATTTATATATGTAGTTCGTTTGTATTACGTAAATTTTGTGTACTGCGACATAATTGAGAAAGAACTTTTTCAACGGTGAAGTTTTGAATTGATATTAATCATTGGGTATTGTTTCATTTCAGATATCGGTTCGTACAAGCAAAACCATAATGAAGAAAAGTAAATCAGCGGTTGGTGAGAAGCCGCCATCACGATGGCAAAGAATTAAAGAAAACCCGGATAGTTTTCTGTACAAACTGTTCCTGAGCGGAACAAGAGAACATCGTTGCCTGAAAGCAATCTTTGGTATATTATGGGGCGTGGCCACAGGGGGTCTATTTTACGCACTGATCACATTTAGTTTTGGATACGACTACGATATTTCCGGTTGGATAACAATAGGAATAACGGTGATGATGAGCATAGGTTTGGCAGTGTCAACCCACTTCCGGTGTGTGGTGATGTTGATGATTCCTTCCCTCTGCACAGGACGTGGGAGGGTAGCCGTGTTGGCCACAATATTTGGTATCCTGCTTTCTGGGCCAGTGATGAACATCTCGGACAACGCTAATCAGGTGTCAAACAGTATGGCGTGTACGTCGGAACTCATCTACAACCAAAGTCAGCTTTTGCGCAAACAGTTGGAGGAACCAATTAGGCAAATAGCCAGAACAATTGAAGATTCATTAGATGACTTGCAAACAATTGGTCAAAGTTTCCAAAAGGTCATCGATCCGGTGACAGAACAGGTGGAAGCAGTCGACAGAAAGATTAAGGAAGCAGCGTCTGCCGTACGGGACGCAGCAAAAGTATGTATATATAATTACTAATTTTCGTTTGAAATATCGTTCGAAAACATTTAAGATATATCAAAACAAAAGTTCTTATATTTGTGCTGGGGAAGGTGAGTGTACGTGTAATTATATCAGTATCACCCTTCAGTATTTTTACCATCATTAAATAAAAGCTAGTGTAACACAAAGAAAAATTTACATTCTCTATTAGCACAAACCCTTTGGTTCAAATCAATAGTATGTTGTACAAGTGTCTCTCCGAGTATGTTTAGAGGCATTCAATACCTACGTCCATTACCTTTCCTATCAAATTCCCATTTACTTCAATTCATGCACAATTATCAACATAATAATACTAATGTCATGCGTCTGTGGATATTACACAATTCCGTCTATATTTCCCTTTCTTGATGGTACCCGAACGGGGTATTCTTTAGTTCTTTGCCATTCTTTGGATGTGATGTGGGCAAGTGGTTAATCAAATACATATATATTCTGATTTAATTATTATTTATACCGTTATGACGATCTCTGACTGCTTGAAGTTGGATGTTTTTGTTCTTCTAATTTACATCCAGAAATTTCGTTAGAGACTAGAGTTAGATAACTCTGATTTGTCGCTGATGTTTCCCGTATGCGGTATCTTGACAATCTGTTAAAGGTATATCATAAAATCAAAATTTTCACTTTAATTCTGGAATATATAGACGTGCATCAAAATGGGTATTTTTTGGTGTATTTCTTACAATTAACCGTTTGACCCGAAACATATTTTATTTTTAATTTAATGATATCACCTTTTAAATATTAACCTAAATATGAAGTTAATTTTTTAAATCTTTATATAACTGGATAGCACTTTCCATACTTATTGATCCCATATTGATTTTCATATCTTGTATTCTGTGTGATGATACGCCCTTTAAAAGGAATGCATTAAGAAATTATGCTTTCTCTCCAGTAAATCAGCAGCTTTATTCGAGATTCGTCTATGTTGCTCCTCAATTGGTTTGTTTGTGTCCATTTGCTGTTTGATAATCTTTAGGATATACATGTATATTGAAGAGAATGGTATCTCAACTTAACACTTCAAAACCAAGGAGAGATCACAAAATGATTAGAGATTACTAATAAGATAGAGAAAAAGAAAGAAATTGATATGAAATTATAACAACAAAAACTGTCGAGACCCGGCATCAAGTGTATGACACAATGGACGTCACACAAAAGAAAAAACTAATTAAGGGTCTCCGTGCAGCAAAAAGATGAATTTACAACCTCTGATGTCGGCAGTGTTAGCTATATGGCCGACCCGCAGGTTCAGACTTTATTTAAACTGATAATTTCATAGCAAAACTCATGCATTCTTATTTGGACAGATACTCGTTTGGATTTTCTAAAACCAATAGTATTTCTCTGATCACTCACCAGTCAGCTGTTTGGTACTCGTACAGAAGCTGTACCAAGCTGAGGATCAAACGTTACTCGCTGCTGTTGATCTATTTTAATATGGGAAAGGGGGATAACTCACACGTCAATTGTAGGGAGTAAACATGTAGTATATATTGTTTTCCAACCCCGATTGATGAGGATAGGCAATTACATTTATTAAAGCATTAAATATTCATGCTAACCACTCAGTTATCAACTATCTTTTCATTATTCAGAAATGTACACAAGGTGTTAACGATGTCTACCGGAAGTGTGTCGATGGAATAAACAACGCAAAGCGAGAATGTGAAAAACAATTAGAAGTTTTAGACAAAATCGGTGGCGGTGTTGTGGACACAGCAAATACCGTTGGGAATGGTGTCAAAAGCGCGATAGATACTATTGGCGACGTGTTTGGAAAGCGACGAAGAAAAAGAGCATGTTATTGGTCGCTTCCATGGCAACATCGTTATCAACCGTTGACGACAGAGTGCTCAGAACGAAGAAGGTAAGACAGTTTATTTTGAAGTTGGCGTTAACTTATATTTTATTGTCTAAACATGCACCATTCAATCATTGTGATGAAATCCCGCCTCAAAGCGATATCTAATAGTTTCCGGTCAATACCTTTCAGGTTTGTTTCTTAATTATTTTCACATTGTAGCAAAATGCCTTTGATTCATTGGCCAGAAACTTTTGCAAGCGAATATACTTGGCAAGTAAGAAATGTTAAAGGTCCTCATTGTGACGCAACAATCAAAAGACGGGTTTGACAGGTACTTCGTCCCCAGTTTGACGTGAGGATGATGCAAAATATCTTATTCACATTGAAAAGCATTTTTAAGAATGGTCAATGTGATCTTCTTATTTCTTTAATACACAAAGTAGCGATTACACAAACGTTGAATGAATTATCTCAGCGGATAGTTCGCTCAAATCCTGGATAGCCCAAAGTGCCATCAACGCATATTTCCAAAAGAACTTTTTAGACTAATATGATAATTTACAACTAATAATTTTGATTCCCCAACGTGTAGTTTTAGAATGGAATTTCAATATATTTGAAATCATACTAGAAGGAAATTTCTCTAAACTATCAAGCCTTATACAAATCTGGCACGACGTCTTTGTGTTAAACATATCTTTATTACCGATAAGCAAATATTGAAACATTTGGACAATTTTAACTAGTCAGACATTACTTTGAGTGACATTTCGTTTCTATCTCCTGTGGCTAAGTTCATGTGTTAAAGGAACTTTATGTCACTCCTCCACTCAATGTTCTGTGGAACATGAGGTAGCATACATATAGGGGAGAGGGGAGCTGAGTTATCCACAGTACAGAAAGGAAGGTGATAACCTGGGGTAGTCACAGTACATAGACATAATAGGTCGACTGACGTAGTCACACTAAATATAGGGGAGAGGTGCCTGAGGTTGTCACAGTACACGGAGAGAATGGGTGACCTAAGATAGTCACACTAAATAAAGGGGAAAGGTGATCTGAGGTTGTCACAGTACATGGAGAGATTAGGTGACCTGAGATAGTCACAGTACATAGACATAATAGATCGGATGAAGTAGTCACACTAAAGGGGAGATGTGACCTGGGGTAGTCACAGTACACAGAGAGAAAAGGTGACCTGAGATAGTCAAACTAAATAAAAGGGGGAGGTGACATTAGGTAGTCACAGTACACAGAGAGAAAAGGTGACCTGAGATAGTCACACTAAATAAAGGGGAGAGGTGACCTAAGATAGTCACAGTTCGCTGAGAGAATAGGTGACCTGTGATAGTCAAAATACATAGACATAACAGGTCGGTTGACGTAGTCACACTAAAGGGGAGATGTGACCTGGGGTAGTCACACTACACAGAGAGAATAGGTGACCTGAGATAGTCACACTAAATAATAGGGGGAGGTGACCTTAGGTAGTCACAGTACACAGAGAGAAATGGTGACATGAGATAGTCACACTAAATAAAAGGGGGAGGTGACCTTAAGTAGTCACAGTAAACAAATGGGAGAGGTGACCTGAGATAGTCACAGTGCGCTGAGAGAATAGGTGACCGGAGATAGTCAAAATACATAGGCATAACAGGTCGGTTGACGTAGTCACACTGAAGGGGAGAGGTGGCCTATGGTAGTCACAGTATATTGAGGGAAAGGCGACCTGAGGTAGCCACAGTACATAGAGGGGATAAGTGACCTGAGATAGGCACAGTACACGGAGAGAATAGGTGACATGAGGTAGTCGCAGTTCACGGAGAGACAAGGTGACCTGAGGTAGCCAAAGCAGAAAAATTATCTGTCTGATTTAGCGAGATATTTCTGCAAGAACTTATTTTACCTATCAGTCTACCTCAGTTGTAACTTGAGATGAACTAATGTCCTTTAACAAAACATTCTTACATTCACAAAGATATTTATCATTAAATATAACTTTTCGGATTGTTCGCCAATAAACAGGTCGTTTGAAGTACAGTTACACTGAACACAAAACACATATTTGGAAGATAACAAAATGATTTACAATATTTGAAAATAAACACAAATTATAGAGACCCGCCCGTTGTTATCGACAGCGCCCAACAAGTAAACTAACGAATCCGTTGATTTTATTTTGTAGGTATAAACGCTTTGCTTCTGCAGTATGCCGGGTGCTTGACATATCCGACGTGTGTGTCGAAGTCAAGCCAGGGAGTGGTCTCTGCTCCGTCTTGGATTTATTTCAGGACGTCACAGACGTTGCACTAAGAGAAACACGCGACCTTATATACACACTCACAGATTTCTTCGAGTTTGGCGTAAATTCGAACTCGGATTTGTATGGGAAAATCAACTCATCCCAGACTGCTGCACAAATCATGGCGAATGTTCGCGCAGACATACAAGAAAGGACGGAGCTGATCCATAAAATCATCAAAATTATAAAGTATATTTTAGCCTTTCCTCTCGTGTTTCTTTTCATCCAATCAGCCCTCTACGTCAAAAAGTATCGTACAAAGGATCACTTTGATAACAAATACATATCGAGGCGATTCAAACGGTACGATGACAAACGTACGCACCAAGGCAAGAAGTCGGTGTTACCGCTGAAAAAGATAGAGAAACGAAAGTATATTGATACTAGATCAAAGCTCCTGTCCCCAGCAGAACTACAAATGGTCAAGGTAGGGGCTGTCTCTGTCAGCTTGCAGTTCCTTATAACGCTTGTTGCCATCATTGCTGATTATGTTCTGTTCTACGTTCTCACTGTTATGCAGCAGTTCGGCAACATCAACGTCAGTGTAACAGGAGATAGCAATGTCTCTCTTGGTGTCGTCGGTAGCGGCTTTATTGCTAAAATGATAGGAAGTCTTCTTGCGGTTCTCGAAGTAGACACTGACTTTGCCGTTAATTTTAATTTAACACAGTGTTTGCCTGACCCGCAGAAACCAAACGTGCAAACCATTCTGGTTCTTTCTGTTTTGTATTTCGTTGCGTTCGTCTTTATATTTACACAGGCATATGGATTGCGCATACGTAGGAAAATAGCCGCCTATTTCTACCCAACTCAGGAACAAGAACGTATAAAATATTTGCATGAAAAAATTCGTCTTAAACGGCAGTCAAAACTTCTTTGGTTTTCCAAGAATCTTAAATCTCGAAGAAAGGGGAACAGCATCTTTTCTCACGTCCCATTTCTGATGTTTCTTTCGGACCACATGCCCGGCAATTGTAATTGTAGGCCACAGAGAAAGACCGCTTGTCTCGGATGTAAAGAGGAGTTCACTGGCGTGTCGGAGTTCCACGTCTGCCCTACTCCAGGATGTGATGGTGTATACTGTATGGAATGCTTCATGGAAATGAACAAAAAGTGCATCGTATGTACAAACACATCAAAAAGTTTGAAGCGTGGAGTGGTCAGTTTCTCGAAGGGTCAGCAAAAGTATTGAAGCAACCTTACATGATCTGACCAGTAATTTTCTGTTGCTTTTGCTTATTTCGTCAAACATACTATGCTCGTATGGGATGGGAGAGGCTATTACGGTCGGTGTGTGTTTATTCTATATTTTGAATAACGTGCTTCATTCTAGTACTATTATACATCATAAGTCAAAGTAAAAAATTGGAAAAATGATAAAATGTTTTACAGTTTAACCTTTATACTGCAATCAAGAACTCATAATTCTGTATGTTATTACAACATGTATTTGAACATCCTCGATATCCAGGAGTTACGCTCACTTTCGCTCTCTGCACCCCTGGTATGTCATAGAAAAATCGAAGGCTCAGTGTGTGCCACCTTGCTGATGAGACAAGAATACTAGTTCGAACTTTTGATGTACATCAAATGAATCTTGTGGTCATGTAACGGTAAAATTGGACAGACTTTGAAGTCGGGCGTCTCCCCTTTGTAATCTTCAAAGGACAAGTATCAGCCTAGCGATTGGTCAGTTTTTTTACCTGAGACTAATCAAATAGCTATGTTCGTGCCTTCAATTTTGCTATGACATATTCAAGGGATGAAGAGAGTAAAGTGAGCGTAACCCCTGGATATCGAGGATTGTATTTGAATGATATGGTCACGCTCATAAAGTTTGTTCTTATTATTTTAATTATCTATTTAACAAATCCAACTTTAATATTCCAGCAGGCAAACATGTATGGATGCTGGGATACTCTTTTAAATTTCTTTCTCGTTTCTGTCGAACTGCCACTACTACGTATACAGTTTATTAAACACAGTGGTAGGTTTTAAATTCTCTCTCTCTCTCTCTCTCTCTCTCTCTCTCTCTCTCTCTCTCTCTCTCTCTCTCTCTCTCTCTCTCTCTCTCTCTCTCTCTCTCTCTCTCTCTCTCTCTCTCTCTCTCTCTCTCTCTCTCTCTCTCTCTCTCTCTCTCTCTCTCTCTCTCTCTCTCTCTCTCTCTCTCTCTCTCTCTCTCTCTCTCTCTCTCTCTCTCTCTCTCTCTCTCTCTCTCTCTCTCTCTCTCTCTCTCTCTCTCTCTCTCTCTCTCTCTCTCTCTCTCTCTCTCTCTCTCTCTCTCTCTCTCTCTCTCTCTCTCTCTCTCTCTCTCTCTCTCTGTTTTTCTCCTACTCTCTTTCGTTCTTCTCTATCTTCTTTTTTTTCTTTGTCATTTTCATTTATGATCAGTGAAAAATTTATTGTTGATGTTGCCATGTACATTGTATAATAAATTTCTTGGAGAAGGCTTCATAACTTGTGCCTAATCCCATTGCAAATCTGCAAAAAATATTTGTTATATACATTGTAACAGATGTACATATTTGTGTATATGACTTTATTTAATATGTGATTTAACCCTAGATACACTGATACTATTTAAAGTTAAATAGAAATACTACATAGCATCGCTTATAAGGAGATGAATATAGTAAGACATTGTTTTGACATTCTTAACAAGTTATAATGACTTCTTATGGTATTTGAAATTGTATTTGTTCCATTATTTACTATGTTATATTTTAACCGCATCATCTGTATCGCATTGTTATATTTAATAAACGACAAAATATAGAATGACTGCGTCGATTTGTGCTATGGTTACGGGTAAAGTGCATCAAAGCCTCTTAGCATTTTTAAAAGTTGGGTGTCAGTTGATTAAGTAGTTATGGTTTGTTCTCGTCATTCGATCACCTCAAAGAGATATTGAGTATAATCGTCAAAATCCAACATATACGTGTATAATAATTGATTTGTCTGTGAGTCCGTCCGCATGTGCGTCCGTGCATCCGTAGTAAAAAGTTTACCCATAATATGATGACATTGAGATATACTCCTGATTAGATTTTGGTGGTGAGGGTTAAACGGTCAAAGGTCACGGACAAAGCAGGATTAGCGAGAGGGGAAGGGGATGAGCGATATGTCTATATGAGCCTCCGCTCACTTAGTTTTTTTAAGTTCGACAGTAGCTTAGCTCTGATACGGTTGAAAACACAACGGGATGTCCTTTTGCAACGTATCCTGTGCATAAACTTGACTCATTGATTGCCATTAGTTTGTGTGTAAGTCAGTAAGTTTTGAATTCATTAAATAACAAAAGTATCATAAGAAAGCTTAATAAACCAAAAATGTACGTGAACTCATCTTAAATATCCAAGAAGGCTGGATTCAGAAACATTTTTTTAATGGTAGTAACCCCGAGTCTTGAACTCTTATGTGCGATAATGTGCCTCTTCATTTCGGACACTTTGAATTCTGTTGAAAAATTAATAAGTCAACAAATTCGGATGAAAAAAAAAGAGTAGCACAATTATTATAAACAACTCTGAGCTACAGAAGAATAAGAGGGGACATGAATGAGGTGTTCAAAATAATAAGCATTATTTACGATAATTGTGCAACGGATTTTGTTAAGATGTTGAAAGATCAATCACAAAGAAAGTATTTCCACAACATTCTGGACTAGATATTTGCAAGAACTTTTTTGCATTGCGAATTGTAAGAATATGGAACAATCTTCAGGAAAATGTGAGAATCAGGAACTCCTTTACAATTATAGATCTGAGATACGTTAATGATCCAAGTAACGTCACATTCATCTATTATTGAACAGTTCACTGTTATAATTTTGAGTCCAGTGAAGAGGATCTTTAAGATCCTGTATCGGTAAATAAACTTAGATTATTATTACGTTCCTGAAAGCAATCGTCCGGAAAGAGAGCTGGATTATAAGGTTCGGTTTACACGACATCAATCTAAAAACTGTATAACGGATACATTAACTAGATGTTGCTATATATTGTAAATATCACTTTCCCAACTTCTGGGGAAACACCATTATTTGCTTAAAGTTGAACCAGGTTGTCGGTACAAATAACAGATCTAGAGGGAAAACAGGGAGATATAAGCAATACACAAAAACAATATGTATGGGATTGTCATAATTGACACTAGCGTCCCAAAAGTGTTAAGTATAAAACGAAATTCTACGGAAGTGTAGAAAAAAGAAAACACTATCCCTGGAATTGGACAGTGTAATACCGGTGTCCATGGAAGTGAAAGGAATAAAACGAGATTTGTCGGAAATATAATACATGTAACTAGGATTTCCGAATGTGCAAAGAAACGAAACCAGGTTTATAGAAAGTACCACGGTAAAGGAAAGTATGAAACTATGATTTCGTACGTGAATCGTTTCCCACAATTTGTATTCCTTAGATGAGAAAAGTATGAAATAATGTTTATGTGTAAATAATGATTTAGTGTAAAGAATGCTACCAGGGTGTCTGGAGTTTTAAACCACATCAAAGTGTAACTAGATCTGTTTAACAATAAATTCTGGTTCCATTAAAAAGTAACACAGAAAAATATCACATCAATAAAAACTTAGAGAAGAAATCATTATTTAATTCGCTCTTTGCATTTAATTACTTTGGTTATAATGACATTACGCGCGGTGTTGGCTTGTAAGATGTTTTATCATATTTTGCGTTAGTTTGTGTGAATCTCTTGTACGCTACCGTGCAGACAAAGACGATTGATCAAAATGAGCGGTAAACTTTTGTTTTCATAATTGTAGTGGAATACATAAAGTTTAAAAATTGCCCGGGTTAGAGGGGAAGATAGATGTGGGGATTGGGACAGTGTTATATTCTCAAAATCGTTTCCATCGTTTCGGAACGAGTTGGTTGTCTCATTGTTATACTTAGCTGTATATACAAACAGAGAATAAGTATAAACCTTATATGAAAGTTGTTTTTACTATATTTCTACAAATCTATTTATAAGTATTGACTTTATCCACGTAGTGTTTCAAAAAGGCAAAGATGCAATGGCGCGAATTTATGGAATTTCTTTGAAACGTTTTACCCCGTTGATGATAAGCGTTACGCGAGTTATTGTGACGTTTTCGAGGTTATTAGCGTGAAACAAAAACTTCTATTTTTTGTTATATTATCCATAATAAGCAGAAAATGAACGAGAAAAATTTTTCTGTGATGCGGGTTTTGAAGCGGTGTAACCAACATCGCGCGTAACGTCTATGTAGTTTACAACTTGTTCGCTGTCATGATCAATTCGCATTCATTACGGAGAGCGAAATAGGTGAAAATTAAAGTGCAGCGAAAATGTTTCGGTATTCCGTATTTTTTTATTTGTAAGCGAAACATACAACTAACTTTCTTGTTCTTACCAAATTTCATAGTATATGCCCAAAAAAAGACCTTCTAAATTGAGTTTGCGAGAAACTAATAAGAACGATATGTGAAAAATGGAAGAATTTTCCGCGTAAAATCTTATATTTTGAGAAACTAAATTAAGCGAAAAAAAAATAATCAAAACATTTTAACACAAAGGAAATGGAGAAAGAAATAAGTAATGTGTAGGGAAACTATTGACTGTATTAATATCATACTGTATTTGCAATGCCGAATTTAACGAAAACACTTGTTATTCTTGGGTGTTGGGTACAGTTTTAACATAAATGTAATGCTTTATGAAGATATAGTAAACAGCTCACGCAAGCTCGACCGAATGGACGGAGGCAGAGTTGTTGCGTTTCGTGGCTAGAAAAATACTTTTTCTAATCTTATAGCAGAAGTAAATACATACAAAACAAAATGTGCTGCTTATCAGAGCACAAGTATATATGAGTTAAGAAAATACAAGTGCAAACTTGACAATCGGAGCGAAGCAATCTCAATATAGATTGAGTTGTATAGCGTGTTCCATTTAGCGGAACATTCCGGTTGTTCCGGTACGTACCATCCGTTCCGTTAAATGGAATGCGACGTTCCGCCGAAACGAACCGGTTCGTTGAGAACGTTTCATTTAAGGGTACCAAGTTGGATCCAATATGGCCGTCAATGAAAGCAAAATAGACAGCAGATGATAAGAATGATCAAAATGTATAGTATTTTCAGTGCGCTACGTGTCAAATGAATCACAAGTGCTTAAAAGTATCCATAAGTTGTTGATCTAATAGCCAGCAGACGACAGCTGCAGACTCTTCTCTCGCAGACCCAGCGTCTGACAAAAATTGACACTGACAGCCATGGAGAATTTCAGACAACTTACACTGAAGGCGGGCAATGGGATATTCAACATATCAATTACAAATAGGGACTACGACCGCTTATGCACCGGTAGGTTAAATAATTTGACGCTAAAATAGATCGCAGGAACTTGTAACATGAAATATCCTAATCCAAGTAAAAAAAAAGAATGTACTTTGTAGAGTTTGTTTGGGGTGGGGCACAGGGGCTCGTTAAAAATGTCTAGAAACTAGTATGTACATGGGTCAAAGAACCTCTAAACATGTACATTTATTATCTGTGACCCATATCAGTAAGACTAGATCATCTGATCATGTATGTAATATATATATTTGTAGTGTGGGGTTATAATCGCCTAGGCAAAAGTACCAAAGATGGAACATTTTATCAGTCTA